CCAACACATGCACTCATTGCACTAGGCAGCATTAACTGGCAGTGCATACGTTACATGTAACATACTGACACTAAGAATGCCACAATATAATTAACGATTTAAAAGAGCCACAAAACCTTCTTTAACCAAATTTAGCTTTGAAATTTCACTGTGACATTGTAGCCTCATACATCCAGGCATGTAGATTCTACTAGCAAACCGGCAGTCAAATTCTTTCTAACAGACAGTCAACAAATCCATGTTTAACCCTCCTCTGAGGGTCAAAGGTTATCAGACACTTACTCTTCGCATGTCAGCAGAAGGGACATTCATGGTCCTTTCAATAAAGCCATAAAAATGCTAGGTCACCGCTGAAACAAAAAAGTTTTTCAATCGCTCCGTCAGACCATGTCCTCAGAAAATGTCTAAAATCTGCCCTGTGCCATTGACCTTTGACCTGTGACCTCCAATTTTGGCCACAGTGATGCCTTTCCTACCATGATGCTATACACCGCTATCACGAGCCTTAGGTTTGAGCCGTTTAGATTTGTGCCGCAATTCTGCATTTCCTCCCTATACCTTAAGTTAAGGAGTGAATGTTCCCTTCTTTTACGACCTCTTGACCTTTGACCTTGACCCCCCAGCTTCGACATCCCAACTCGTTTTGACGATCCCCCATAGTGCCAAATATCGTGACGCGTACGTCGAGCGGTTAAGATTTGTGCCCACTGTTGACGGACGACGCCCGACGGACGCCCGGAGCGGACGGACGTACGATCATGCGATTCTACAAGCTGCATCTGACTATGTCAGATGAGCTAAAAATAAAAAATTAATTTATAAAAATTAAAAAATAATAAATAATACAAAATAATAATAGTTTTCTATTTCTCGCCTCCTCAGGCAACCCGCTGCGCTGCGACTGCGCTCTCGCCTGGATCCTTCCGCACACGCAGTGGCATGACCTGAGCAGCCTCGGCCGCTGCGCGTCGCCTCCAGAGCTCAACGACACCCTGCTGGAGAGACTCACGCCCCACGCGCTCTGCCCGCTGCCGCCGACAACGTCGCAGCCACCCACGCAGACGACGGAGGCTGGCAGACGAGACGACAGTGGTGGCAGACGAGACGACGACGATGGCAGAGGGGACGACGGTAGCAGCAACAGGTGAGCCGAATGGTGTTTTTTTTTCTGGGACGGACGGTGGTTTCGACGTGGGGATGTATTTTCGTGTTGATTTCGTACCGAGGATGTTGAGCAACGATGAGAGTGAGAGCAGGAGAAGGAATAGAGGGAGAGAAGAGAGGCAGAGAGAGAGGGGGAGGGCAGAGATAGATAGATAGATAGATAGATAGATAGATAGATAGATAGATAGATAATAGATAGATAGATAATATAGATAGATAAGAGACCGAGAAAGAGAGAACGAGAGAGAGAGAGAGAGAGAGAGAGAGAGAGAGAGAGAGAGAGAGGAGAGAGAGAAGAGAGAGAGAGAGAGAGAGAGAGAGAGAGAGAGAAGAGAGAGAGAGAGAGAGAGCGAGAGAGAGAAGAGAGAGAGGAGAGAGAGAGAGAGAGAGAGAGAGAGAGAGAGAGAGAGAGAGAGAGAGAAAGAGGAGACAGATAGAGAGAGCGAGAGAGGGAAACAGATAGAGAGATAGAGAGAGGGGGGATAGAGAGAGAGAAGGAAAGAGAGAGCGAGAGAGATCGTGAGAACGAGAAGAGGCAGAGAGCAAGAGAGGGAGGAAACGCAGCCGCACGCTGCAGTGCACGTGTATTTCGTCCCGCAGCGCTGCCGAGAAAATTCCGGTGCTCCCACCTGGATGATCGGCGTCTTTGTCGCGCTCGGACTCATAACACTCGCCGCTGCCGTCCTCGCGCTACTGGCAGTGGAGCTACCGTCGCCGCGGCGACGACGATGACAGCGACAACGTGAAGCTGACGAAAACTGCCATACACGCACCTCGAAAACCAGTCGACCGCATAGTCGCACGAGGGCGGAGGCGCCCTCTGGTGTTACAGTTGCGGGGGAACGGAACTGCCTTGTAGTGTGAGCATGGCAGCTGGCTCTCTAGATAGACCTGCAGCTAGATTGGAGCACACACGTAGTGTACTGAGAGTGTACGTACATGGCTAGCACACACGTAGTGTATGAGTGTACGTATGCTAGCAACAAGTAGTGTACTGAGTGTACGTATGCTATAGTGTACTCAGTGTACGTATGCTAGCACACACGTAGTGTCCTGAGTGTACGTATGCTAGCACACACGTAGTGTACGGAGTGTACGTATGCTAGCACACACGTAGTGTCCTGAGTGTACGTATGCTAGCTGCTTCTTA